GGGGGGGGGGGGGGGGGGGGGGCCGGATCGGGCAGGGTGTGCGGCGAGCGAAAGACGTGAAGCGGGGTCAGAGGCATCACTTCCCTGAGCCAGAGTGGTACGCGACCAAGCGTTCCCAGCGGCGCGGCCTTCCCCACATATCCCGCTGTTTCTGCGAGCAGGAGCCAAGGTCTCGTCAAACGCGTTGCCGGGGTGCGCCTCAACGCACGCGCATGCGCCGCCCCTCCCTGGCGTCGGGCGCCGCACCTGCAGCTCCCGTGTGGTGCGCAGCAGCATGGCGCTGACCCGGTCAACTGCCAGGTTGAGCAGCTCGTTGGCAGCAAAGGTCTTGGTGTTGAGCAGCAGGCCTGGGGGCAGGGGGGCGGGGGTAGCGTGGTGCTTTGTGCGTCGGGGTTGGGGGGAGAGCAGACGATATCCTGATAGCACGAGTTTTGCCAGCATCAGGCTAGCATGTAATGAACTATCGCGGTGCGTCTGCCAGCCTGGGACCCTTAGATATCAAACGGAGAAGTCTCTCAATAGCCGCATACATGACTAGTGATAATGGGGTCCCGTAGGACCCTAAACCCCGTGCACCTACCCGCCAGTGAGACCTTGAAGGTGGTCAGCACGTTGTGCAGCCGCGGCCGGCTGATCTGCAGCCGCAGCAGCACCTGCAACTCCTCGCAGCCGCCGCCCCCGTCCCCGCCGCGCGGCAGAGCGCGCCGCGCGACGGCCGCCAGCTTGCGGCGCGCTGCTGCGGCCGCGGCGCCTGTGCCGGCGGGCTCGCGGCCGCGGGGCGCCGCGCGGCGGACGTCGCGCTGCCAGGCCTCGCCGGGGGCGGCCGTGTAGGTGGCGCGGCCGGCGCTGAAGCGCTGCGCGGGGCGGCGTGGGCGGGAACAAACACGGGCGTCAGGGGCTACACCTGCTGCTCCAAACAGCGTCGCCCTCGCACTGACGATGCGACAGGCAAAACAACAACAGCAGGCGCGACATTTGTACAGCCAACGCCGCTGAGGGTTGGTCTCAAGGAATGCCAACTGCTTGGCAAGGCCCCCCCCCCCCGCCGCACCTCCCGCAGGGTCAGCCCCGCGTCCCCGTCCCCCGGCGGCGCCAGCGGCAGCCACAGGAACACGGGGCCGTCGGTGCCGGGCACCGCCGCCGCCGGCAGCGCGGCCGCGCCGAGCGGGCGGCTGTCCAGTCCGAGGCGTCCGCGGCGGTCCATGACTGATACCTGCAGCTGGCTGCGCAGCGGGACGGACTCGAAGCGGTGCCTGGGGGGCAGCCGGGGCGGGTGTATGTGTGGGGTAGGGGGTCAATTCGAAGGGCGTGGACAGGGG